ATCCGCCGAGTTGCTGGTGCGGGCTTGGGCGTGGCTGGGCGGCGAGGCGACCCCTCCCCTTCGCTCCTGTGTGCATGCCGCGTGTTAGAAGGCTGGCGCTTCACACAAAGGTGGACAACGCGCAATTCTTTTTCAAACGAAGCCGAGAGGGCGGAAAGAGAGACGGCATGACGGGGACTGCATGATGATTCAAACCAAGGCAGCCAAGGAAGATCATCCCCCCGACCCCACCCCGTCCTGGGAAGAAAGAACGGGGGAAGTCAAATTCGGAGCAGGGGGCCAGCAAAACCCCGCGAGCGAGAATGACGGCGCGCACAGGTGAAGCAGGAGAGCCGGCCGAAGGCTCTGCGCCTTCCCACGCTCAGTTGCGCCCACCCGTGTCTGCAGCAACAGCGGCTCTTGGGACAGCGCGGCGGAGAGCCGGCGGTAAATTCTCTGCGATGGGGCCGGGAAGGGAAGGCAAGAGAAGGCGGGAGATTTCGGAGGGAGGACTCGGCTACTGCGGGATATAATTCCTCGCGGGAGCGGACGCGCGTCATCGTCGTCGTCTTCTTCTTCGTCGGCAAGGAAAGCGGAGCGAGGCCGCTTTGCTGGGTGGGAATGGCGGGGACACCCGCCTTGCTTAGCGTCCGTCTCTGGCCCCGCCTAAGCAGCCCCGCCGCCAGGAGTGGGGCAGGGCAGGGGGCTTGTGATCGCCTGCTGGCAGCTGTAGCTGTCGTCGCCAGATGTGTGACTGTGAAGGGAGGGAGAGAGCCGCAGAAGTCCGGCAGCGATTCTCCCGTCTAACCTCTGTCATCCCAAGGCACCAGCGGCGGCTCTCAGACTTCAGCTATGGGGTAACCCAAGCAAGGGAGGGATACATTTCAGGAGCCATTTCCGTGGAGATGAATGGGGGCCTTTTGAACAGACTGGGATTCCTGGGGAGAAAAGAGCTTTTGGTTGTGGAGCAGTGTGGGGGTGCTGCATCTGAACTGGGGAGACCTGGGTTCGGCTCCTCCTCAACCATGGAAGTCAGCAGTGGGAGTTTGGGTCTCTCCTTCTTTGCCAACCCCACATCTCTCAAGAGAGGAGGGGACGTTGTGAAGAAACTCTTGAGTTGTTAGAGGACAGATGTAAAGCAAACACCATCTAGTGTTTAGATCAGTGCTTCTTAATCCCTTTTTGCTCAAAAGACCCTTCCCAACCTTTAAAACTTGTGGGGATTCGTAAAAAAGCTTGCTTGTTTGTATGGGTTAGATGAGGGGTCAGCAAACTGCGGCTCTGGAGCCGTATGTGGCTCTTTCCTCCCTCTGCTGCGGCTCTGTCACCAGTCAGTGCCACAATTTTGAGAGGAGCTTCAGGTGGGGGAGGGGAAGAGAAGCACAGTGGGCCAGGAGAAGACTCTATGGCAAGGGGAGGCTTTTCCAGTTGTCTCCACAATTGAGAGGGCTTTCAGTTATGACAGGTGGAGGAAAAAGTACGCCGCGCTAGGAGGAGACTCTATGGTGGGGGAACTGAACTTCCCGTCAGCTCCAGAATTGAACAGGGGGCTTCCGGTTAGGACCTTTTGTGTCTCTTGATGTTTTCTTTTCTGTGGGAAATGGGTCCAAATGGCTCTTGGAGTTTTTAAGTTTGCCGGCCCCTGGGTTAGATTAATTAATATTTACCATGTTAAAATTTTAAATTGATGATTCATAAGATATTTTTTGAACTAACAATGTTCAATAAATAAAATAACAACGTTAAACACCTAAGAAAACCTGTATTATTAAACAAATAAACATGTAACAAGAAAAAGTAACGAAACAAAAAAGGGTAAAGTACAGGTAGTCCTCAATTTACAACAGTTCGTTTAGTGACCATTCAGTTACAATGCCACTGAAAAAAGTGACGTAAGACCATTTTTCATACTTATGACCCATCGTCATGCGATTTTTACATCCAGATGCTTGACAACTGGTTCATATTTATGACCGTTGCCAGGGTCATGTGATGCCCTTTTGCAAACTTCTGACAAGCAAAGTCAATGGGGAAGCCAGATTCACTTAACAACGGTGTTATTAACTTAACAACTGCTGGAAGAAAAGTCGTAAAAGGGGGCAAAACTCACTTAACAAATTTCTCGCATGACAACATAAATTTGGGGCTCAATTGTGGTTGTAAGTCAAAGACTACCTGTACTTTGGGAATAGTCATTCAATCAACTGGGGGTGTTGCCAGAAATGAGAAATAGGGATTTACCCAATTGTATGAAACTTGGAGTTATATTTTGCCTGGGGCTTGTCCATGTGTGACATCTGGATCAATTGCAGCTTTAATATTGAGTGCAAATGCAGGTTGATGATGGCGATGGATGTGAGCTTCCAGAAAAGGATAGCAGCCTTAGTGTACTCTTGGTCCTTAGGAGCTACCCCTATAGATGCATGGGACTACAACCTCCATTGCCCCCAGCCAACATGGTTGCTGCATCTGCTGGTTGGAAGCTATTATGGCTATAACCCACACATCTGAAAGTTACTTGGTTGGGAAAAGCTGGTTAACTTTTGGGAATTGGGAAAATAATTTGTTTCCAGAACTGTCTATTCAACCCAGTTGCTTCAGCTCTTCTCCCTTCTCTTCTCCTCTGACTTTCTGGCTGATACATTTATATGTATCAGCCAGAAAGAGCCGAGGTGGCGCAGTGGTTAGGGTGCAGTACTGCAGGCCACTTCAGCTGACTGTTATCTGCAGTTCAGCGGTTCTAATCTCACCGG